CACCCTGTATATGTCTATGGTCGCGCATCACCGTGCGCGTCGCACATCGCCACGTCGGTACAGTTGAATCTGACATTATGGTCGGTATTCATAGTCGATTCTTATTTCAAAATCATTTTAAGTGTTGTCTTAAAAAGCTAATACGGCTCTGTGATTGGTTAAAAACACAATAAAAGTATACTTAAGATGATCTTAAATATAAGAACGGACTATGAATACATTATATTATTGTAAAAATAATTATAATAAAAATATATTACGATACGAAAATAAATATTTAATAATATAATACAATAATTATTGAATAATAATATATATTTTGATCGTGACATTTAAAAAACAGATTTTGTATATTAAAAATTATTTCTCAAACATAAGTTTATTTATTATAAAAACATTTTAAAAAAATTTTACAAAAGTAAATATTGAAAAGTAATGTTAAAAATATTTGTTGTGACGTTATTAATGACATATATTTAATAAAAATTAATGGAATTTTTGAAAAATATTTTAAATATTTAATAAATATTAATAAATATTTTGTAGTAACAAAAGACGAATATTTTTCTAAAGATGATAAAACTAAAGCCCAAACGTGGACAAAAATTGGATGTCCATAAGATGTCCCGTAAAGGATATCCGTTCAAGGTACGACAACAGACATCCGTTAAATGTCCATTTCACGTCCACGGACGTTCGGACGTAAATTGGACTTAAACTGGACGTCCACAGGACATCCTGTGCTATCTGGGCAATTGGTATTAAAATTGGAAATGAAATAAACACATGTCCGAAATCAGTGAATTTTGGATTAAATCGGATTACAATCAATTCAATTACTAAAAATTGGATATTTATTATAATGAATTAAAATTGCATATTAGATTGATTATTTTGGATTATATATCTATCCGATTATTTGTGTTTATTTGGACTAACAATAGGTTTTAGAATGTAATGATTTTGGATTAGAAATAATCCGCGAAAGCGATATTAAAACTGATTGTAATTTGTTCCGAATTAAATTCGATTACTTTTTAATCTGGGCGCGGATTAAAACCGATTAAAATGGATTAAAACGGATTAAAAAGTAATCCGTTTTAATCGACCATTTTCGGCAAGGTTTTATATTAAGCAAATATGGTTATGTCAGGTGGCATAACCTATAAGCTGAAAAATGTAATATTTAATTTTTTGTCATTTTCATGATGAATCGGCGAAAAATTAAAAACTGCATTTTTCCAGCTCGTAGGTTATGTCACCTGACATAACCTTATTTGCTTAATATAAAAGTTGTACACTTTACATGTACAAAATGAGAGCGTCCCGGTCTTCGGATTACATGAACAGGAATTAAGATTAAAAGCCTAGAAAATTTATTGCGATGACTATACTTTTTGCATCGTGTTCAGCCGTCAGTTTATGATCCCCTCAGGTCACTTTTTTAACATATGTTAATTTTCGAAAATATATTAATATATTTTATCTATCAATATCTATCACATGCTAGTTCCTACAATAATACATGTATCACTTAATTGTTTGTGAAGAAATAAAATAATTTTTTAAAAAGTGTAAAAGGTTATATTTGCATCATTACCATGCCAATACGTCTTTATAGATATAAATCATAACCTTACTACTTTTTTTAAGATATATGCAATGTAGCATTATTAAAACAGAGAATATAATAAATATATATTAGTTATATATATGTTACCCTACTGAAATATCAATACACATAATTATTTTCGTAACTGTTATAAAATTGATAATATAACATATATGTAACATTCATAAAGTATAAAGGCATATATGTAACATGTATATACCATTACTTGTACTTTTGAATGAGGAGGAAATTTTAATATAACGACAACGTAAAAATTACCTTCACGTTATATAAAATGTGATTTTGAAATTCATAGATGTTACATATTAGTTATATAACTGTGTCGACTGGGATATTTCTTTCCTTGAGAAGCACGATGGATCCGATATTTAAGTTAGGCTCGTCTTTGATCCATTTGCGCCGAATTTGGAGCTCGTTCAAATATTCTAAGCTCCATCGTGACCAAAAATCTTGTCGTACTTTGGAGATGTGTTGCCAAGTTGATAGACGATTTGCTGGGACAGACGACAAATTAGGTTCGGGCATATTGATCAATGGGCGACCGATTAAGCAATGTGCGGGTGTAAGAACTAAAGGATCATTAGGATCGGAAGAGATATAAGAGATAGGCCTTGAATTCAGTATTCCTTCAATTTCTATCGTGAAGGTGTTAAGTTCTTCGAATGTAAAAAGGAGTTCTCTGACCACTCTCTTAAAATGGTGTTTAAATAATTTTACCGTGGATTCCCAAAGTCCTCCAAAATGTGGAGCTGTGGGCGATATGAAGTGCCAAGCAATATGATGTTCCACGGCAAATCGACTAGTCTTATTCCGGTGTTCGTCGGAATTTAAAAGAACGTACAGTTCCTTCAAGTGATTATTCGCACATTTAAAATTGGTTCCATTGTCAGAATATATTTGTTCTGGAATACCTCGTCTCGCGATAAAACGCCGTAATGCTGCTAAAAACCCGTCAGTGCTTAAATCGCTTACGATTTCCAGAAGGACTGCCTTTACAGCCATGCATATAAATACGCAGACGTATACCTTGACTCGGTTGCGATTTCGATGTTTTTTCTTTTTAATATAGAATGGGCCGCAATAATCAATACCCGTGTTCGCGAATGGATTTGCGTTACATATTCGAGGTTTCGGTAAATCGCCCATTTTGTATTTAGTCGAATCAGCATTGAATCTAAAACAACGAATACAAGCACGCACGATTTTGCGTACTTGATTACGACCATCGAGAATCCAGAACTTACGTCTAATAGTATATAAAGTTGTTTGGATACCCGCGTGATAATATTTTTCATGTGTCTCCCTAATGATTAGATCCGTTAGATGGTGACGGCTTGGGAGGAGGATGGGATGTTTTTGCGCGAAAGTTAAATTCGACATTTTAAGGCGACCACCTACGCGAATTAACCCCTTTTCATCAATGAACGGACTTAAATTAACAACGTTGCCTTTATTTACCAAGTGTCCCTTCGACAATTCCTTCCATTCGCGTGAAAAACAAGTTCTTTGAATATTTCTGATTATTTTAGTTTACGTTTCGTCTATTTCCTTTATGCATAATTGTCCGCTATATTTGCTTCGGGTTCGGAAACGCAAACACCATGCCATGATTCTTATTAATTGAGAATACGACGAGTATCTTTGGAAAAGAACGCACTCTTCCGTGGTCGAGACTAAACAAGTATTTTTCTTTAATTCTGGTATTTCTTTTAGCGATATGATTTCATGAGGCCAGATGTGCTCCTCCTCGGCCAACCAAGATGGTCCGAAGAACCATGTACGGATCTTCAAAAAGATGCTCGGTAATTGACCCCTAGATAACGCATCGGCCGGATTATCATCCGAACGAACGTGCCGCCAGAATCGCGAATCCGTGTTTTCTTGAATTTGAGTTATTCGGTGAGCTACGTATATTTTTAAAAGATGTGGAGGAGATTTTATCCAATGAAGCACGATGGTCGAGTCACACCAGAAAACTGTTTTGCTTGGAGAAATTTTCAAAGTATGATACACCTCACGAAATAGTTTGGTCAATAACAGCGCGCCGCATAATTCAAGACGAGGTATCGTGGTCGTTTTTAGTGGTGCAACCCGAGATTTTGCACAGAGAAGCCTACAAAGATTGTTGTTTTG